ATTAGATTGGAAAAAGGATTAGAGTTATTTTATTTGCCTATAAATTTATAACTATAGGGTTGTAAAGGGGGTTAGAAAATAAATTACTTAATATATTTTAGAGAGAGAAAGAAGGAAGAGAAAGAGGAAGAAGGAGGTTAGGGCTTTTATCAAAACCGTTAAGACAAGTTTTAATTCTTCTCTTCTCCTTTGATTCTTACCCTATGCATGCTCGATTAATTATAAGTTCTTTAAATAAATTAATTGAATCTAATTACATGGATTTATTTGGAAATTTCAGTTCATGTATTTTAATAATGGGTTTGTGATAATTTTCATATTTTGATAAATTAAATTTTTATGTGTTGTAATATGTTGTGTTTTAATTGTGTTGTAATATATTATGGGTTTAGCATGGAGTAGTTTGTATAAATTAGATGAAATTAAATTTGGTTCATAGTGTTCGCACCGAACGAGGGGATTATTTTTTAGCATGAAACAGTTTATATATATTAGATGGAATTAGTGCGTGTTTTCTTCAATGCACGCCGAACGAGAAATTTCTATAAACATGAATCAGTTTATTGTTGTGTGAGGGAAATCAGAATTGTGTATATATATATATATATATATATATATATATATATATATATGTAAGCATGCCGAACGAGGCAAATTATAAGTTGGCGTGAATCAGTGCAATGTGAATTCAAATTGTGGTTTTTTTTAAAGCAAGCAATGATTGATATCATGATTTGATTTTTTTTAAAGCAAGTAATGATTGATCTAATGATTGATATCATGATTTGTTTTCTGTTTTTGTTTTTTTTTTTTTTTCTTTCTAAAGTAAGTAATGATTGATATTGATAATTAAATTAATATTTATTATTTTTGATTAATGGATTTGTATTAAATATTTATTTAATTTAAATAGATTTATTAAGAATTGGGTTGCATGATTTAAAGTACTTATGCTAAGTATGAAATTTAATTTAAAAGGTTAAATTAATTAAATATGGTTGGATTAAATTATTTAAATCAATTATTTGGATTTAAATGAATTTAATCAGATTGTGGAGGAGTACAATTAATTGAGATGCATGTTAATTTAGAATTGTTATAAGGTAAATTAATTGCATGATATTTAGAATTGTTATTTTTGCTCAATTAGATGTAAATGATATATATATATATATATATATATATATATATATATATATATATATATATATCACGTTTGTGTGAATTATTAGATGTAGATGTTGTTTGCATCTTTATATGGACATAGAAGCCTTTATGTGGTTATATTGTCGAAAAGTGCACCATCATGGGACGGGGCACCATTATGGGATGGGGGCATATAAGGGAATGAATTAATTAATAAAGTTAAGTCCTACTTATTTTCCTGTCAGGTCAACGAAACAGTTGGTGACATATTATTAAAATAATATTTGGATAGTTGGATAGGACGGATTATATATATATAATTATGCCATGATATGAGCTTGAGTCTCAGGATCAGTGGTTAGGGTGCGTGTATTGTTATGAATGTATAGCTAGATATAGTGTAGTTGTGTGTCCTGGTAGGTCTAGGTATTCATGCCCACTATATGTGTGTTTTGCATGTTGCCTACTATTCAGGTTGAGACAACTCTATAGTTTAGTGAGGTTCCTTTAGTATGTATATATATCTATATATGGACTATTTAGTTATTATTGAATTAACTAGGATGTATACGTGTATCGAGTCTCAGTTTGGGATGTAGTAGATTTGAGCATCTCCAATGCTAAAACCTATTTTTGTATGCTAAATCTATATTTTGACAGGTGATACAGTGCTAAAATGTTACATTTTAGCAATTCTGCTCCAATGGTACATTTCACGCAAAATGCTATTTTTTAACACAACTACTATTCATTTTCAACTACAATTCTCACCATTCATATTTGCATCTGTAATATTAATATTAGGCAAATTCCAAGTCAAGTTGTAGACATTAGAAGGAAACTAAAATTAAACCTAATTAAAAAGAAGTACAAATCTAAAATATCTGGTAAAAAAAGGACAAAAAAAAAAAAAACAAAAAAAAAAAAAACAAATTTTTTATAATTTTTTTTACCACTATTTGTGAATTAATTTTTTTATATAATTTTTTTTTTCGAAAATTTATATATATTATATATAATATATATGTATATTATCTATTATATTATATTATATATAATATATTATATATATAATATACATATAGAGATGCAAGTGGGGGATGACGGGTGAGAAACGACACCGTTTTAGGAAATGAGAGACTTGCTAAAAAAATTTGGCAGCTGCCATATATGAGAAGAAATTTGAGAATCTCAAATTTTGAGAGCTCAAATAAGAGCCTATTGGGGAGACTCTGAGTTTGAGAGGCCCACATGAGAGAGCATTGTAGATGCTCTCAAAACTTGTTTGTGAGCCTGACCAACCATTATTTTTTAAAAGTTCGTCAGTTCCAGTCTTAGACATTGTTCGTGCCGAGCAGAGTTAGTCACTCACTCTTCCGACTCTACGTAGGACTCTTCTTCATATTTTAGTTATTAGTTTTATTTCAGTTCAGTTATTTCAATTAGGATATTATTAGGGGTCCACAGTATCGATTTTCGAGTTGTAGTTTAAATAATTACTGGTATCAGAGGATTGAAGGTTTTTAATATGGGATTTTTAATTATTATTTATTTGAGGATTTTTAAATAATGATTTATTATTTAGTTTCCTTCAGTTTATTATTTATTTATTATTCTTTTTGAATTCAAATGCTTGTTTAAATATTAATTGTTTAATATCCCTTATATTCTTTGTTTGGACTTGATCATCTATGGTTCTAGAATTGAGAAGTATCACAGAAATATTGCTAGAGAAAACTAGGGGTGACAAATCAACGGGTTTGGATTGGGTCATAAAATGGAACGCCTCGAATATTTTTTATGCACCAATGATTTGGCTGCTGAGCAATTGAGTTAGCTTATACCCCAACACAATGACCAGAATTTGGGTTGGTCCAAACCAAATAAAAAAAAAAAATTGCTTTTGCCTTTCATTAATGCTTCTTTCTCTAGTGAGTAATACTTATCTATCGTGTATACATTTATCTGAAAACAAGTTTATTTTATGAACCTAAAAAAATAAAAAATAAAAAGTTTCAAAGAACATAGAGTGCTATGAAATTTTTTGGACTAACAAGAATTCCAAGCCTTTTGAGCACCAGACCAGACCACGAAACATAGTATATTCATCTGTTGGAGTTGGTGGGCAAATGAACACAAATAGGATACACTCACATATATTCAACTGAATTAATAAACACAAAATTCAGAAACACTCACTTCTATAAAGTTGAATTCTTTATCTTATATTGCTCAATTGTTTACCTTTTTATATCACTCAATGGATACTTCTCGTACATGAATTAAATGCATGCAATTAACCACACAATGAACCAAAATATTTCATATAAACCAAAATGTTCCATATACCAGCAATTATAATGAGATTCTTTATACCTTCCAAAATATCACTTGGTCTTCTTAAATGAATCTAGACAAGTTTAGATTCATCTTCCAACACCATCCTACTTATATGTGACAATTGTTGTGGAAGGCAATCTTATGGACCTGAAACGTATTTTGGTCCCCTAACATTTATATACACAGGAAATTTCAACAGAAATCAATGTGGGGCATACATGACTCACCTTTTTATATCACTCAATGGATACTTCTCGTACATGAATTAAATGCATGCAATTAACCACACAATGAACCAAAATATTTCATATAAACCAAAATGTTCCATGTACCAGCAATTATAATGAGATTCTTTATACCTTCCAAAATATCACTTGGTCTTCTTAAATGAATCTAGACAAGTTTAGATTCAGCTTCCAACACCATCCTACTTATATGTGACAATTGTTGTGGAAGACAATCTTATGGACCTGAAACGTATTTTGGTCCCCTAACATTTATATACATAGGAAATTTCAACAGAAATCAATGTGGGGCATATATGCACTCGCGTGCACAAAGAAGACCCCAAAAGAGGGAGAACAAAACAAAAACAGAAGAAGCCGAAAATGGAATTATGAACATTCAATGCTCTAATACAAGACCTGAAAGAAAAGCTACTTTGGGTTTGAAATTTCAACAATTTAGTTTCTAATAGATCGTACATATTATCACTAATCTCTGTACGTACATGTTAAGTTGAATCATGTTGTCCCTTAATCTCCAAATATGATTTTTAAAGGACTACTGATAGAATGAGTTTGTTCATCTGCTTTAATTTTTACATTTGCTGATATTGAGGCTTAACTAATCCATTCCTTAGAAGAAGGATTCACAAGGAATCAATATAAAGACCATTGGATGACTCCTTTGTTAATTATGTACGCAAGTAACATGAAGAATCTTGTGTGGATGTGATTCTGTACGCATCCTGTGTATCAAAATGGTGCCATTTCAGTGCATAGGCTTTGTGTGGAGCTCGCACAATTCGTGTTGTGCGCTAAAACGACACCACAATTCATGTTGTGTGCTAAAACGACACTAGTTATGCACTGAAACGACACCTTACAGATGTGGTTGGTAAAAATGAAACCCAAAGAAATGATGGGACACATATTCTAAGTATACTTGTCAAATGAAACATGCATGCGTGCAGATTTTCGAAAAAAGAACATTTAGCAGCCGACTAGGGAATAAAGGAAAACCTTAGCTGCCTCCAACCAAAATCTATTCAAGTGGATAGTATACGTACAACTCGGTGCGGAACCAACGATTGTCTGGATTTCCAATGGGTCCCACCCCGCATGGAATTAGCTGTAAAGAAAGAACCACAACTCATCAAAGACCAAAAAACCCAACCCATTCAGCCGCCTTCAACTTCCAAGCAACCATTCTTTTCAATTTTCAAATTCACACATCTATATATATATTGAAAGACACATACTTAGCATTCATTAATATGTGTATCACATTCCCTCCCACATCATCATCATTTAGCCATTTGCAGATATTGAGGTTCTTGTACTAGAAAAAACACTTTTATCAGTAGAATTGTTGTAAAATTGTTGCGATAGGTGTCACCATATGTAACAATGCATTCCAAAGAAACCCAACCCCATATTGAGCTTACTGTCAATGCATCCATTGTCGCAGCTGAAACACATGGACATGGTTATGGCATCCTTATGATGATCAAGGCTGTGATATCGACCATCTTAGCCAAATTTCATTCCGGTTACTTCAGAATAAGCCTCTCTCTTTCTAGCCAAGCCTTGCTATGGAAGACACTAGGCGAGCCAACAGATGATGCGCATGCTTTTCGACGCGTTCTTAGCATGTTACCCTCCGCAGCTTTCACTCTTCTATGGTCACTTGCCTTGTTCACACTTGTCACACTCTCCATTCTCTACGTCCTCAAGTGTTTGTTACAGTTTGATGCAGTGAAAGAAGAGTTCTTGCACCACGTAGGAGTGAACTACTTGTTTGCTCCATGGATTTCTTGGCTTCTCTTGCTTCAATCATCGCCATTCTTTACTCCAAACACCACGAATTATTTAGTGCTTTGGTGGGTTTTTGTCATCCCAATAGTGGCACTTGATGTCAAGATTTATGGCCAATGGTTCACCAAAGGAAAGCGGTTTCTTTCCACCGTCGCGAATCCAGCGAGCCAGTTGTCAGTGATCGGAAACTTGATTGGTGCACGCGCAGCTGCTCAGATGGGATGGAAAGAGAGTGCCATCTTCTTGTTCTCGTTGGGGATGATACATTATTTAGTACTCTTTGTCACACTTTATCAAAGGTTATCTGGTAGTAATAACCTTCCGGTGATACTCAGGCCAGTTCTTTTCTTGTTCTTCGCGGCTCCCAGCATGGCAAGCTTAGCTTGGGACTCCATCTCTGGGAACTTCGATAAATCGTCGAAGATGCTCTTCTTTCTTTCACTTTTCCTCTTCATGTCCCTGGTAAGAACTACTAGCATTTTTCCTACTGTTGTTTTTGGATTAGACAAATTAAGGAGTTGTTTTCACTAAAATATTAATATATATATATATATATATATATATATATATATATTTGTAATTCAGAGCTAAGAGAATTTCCAATGCAAAATGCTATTCTTCATGGTAAATTTATATTTTAAAAGGAATTAAAGTGTCAAAATGTTATATTTTAGCAATTCTGTTTCAATAGTGCATTTTATCTAAAATATTATATTTTAGCAATTATGTTCTAATTATGCTGACACTTTGACCATTAATTTTCTTATTTTAATCAATGCATTTTTATTTCTTTTTCATGTGACTTTTCAGTCCATATCTACACAAAAAATCTTAAAAAAAAAAAAAGGGTTAGTATATCAAGTTTTCAACTTATAACCACGTGTTATATATGAAAAAAGTTTTAAGAATTTCATATTTTGAGGGATTGTACAGCATATCAATAAAATGTATTAAAAAATAAAATTTTTTATATTTTAATTTTGAGAAGACATTTTAGAGAGCATTGGACACTCAAAACAGATAGTGGGAGGACTTAACATTTGTCCTTTACCAGTCAGACAGCACGCCACACTCAAAATATAGTTAGGAATTGATGGTGATATAGTCTTTAGTAGAAAAGTATTTAAGTTGTCTTTTTGTTCGTATTCAATTTGGTCTCGTCCAGAATATTCTTCTATTCAGATTTCATGTCGTCAATTGTCATCGTAACTTTTTCCTATATTGTAAAGGGCAGTGTGGACTTTTGGACTCTCTCGCTTTAATTTGTTGAAAACAGTTCTGAAATATATATAACAGTTTTCTAAAAATATTTTTAAATATTAAATAAAGCAGAATATTTGTATAATTTGTTAATTTTAGTACATCTTTCAAAAAAATAGATTAGTGTTATCAGAAAATTGAATCAAATAGTCTCCCAAGTCTAACAAAAAAATTATACAGTACTTATAAAGTTATTTTGACTTAAAAAAAAAATTTCTTAGTCTTTTTAATCACGGTTTAAGTCTACAAAGCTAGGGACACAGTATACATGTTTGTAACTATCTCAACTGTACATTAAAAAGTAACTAATTAATAAGAAAAAAAGAAAATCGTACTTTTTATTAAGATATTGTTATAATTTTGTGGAATCTAATACAATAGTCTAAGAGAAGGAATCTAAGTGATAGTATTTTTTTTTTTTTTTTTTTGTTTAGTTAGTACTCACATATACTTGTCTCTGGAACTTGAACTCCTTACCTTTTTTTGCGAGATAAAAGGGTGATACCGCTAGACTACTGACTCGTTGGTTGAGTGACACTATTAAATCAATATTGGATGAGATTCTGGTCTTATTCAATGGATATATAAAACATTCCACGTTAGATCTAAGAATTATTATCCTAATTTATATATTTTTATATGTTGATTCCTTTCCCGGAAAATAAAAATTTAAATGTTAAAATTTGTCATTTTTCATGTGAAACAGGTGTGTAGGCCAACCCTATACAGGAAATCGATGAGGAAGTTCAATGTAGCATGGTGGGCTTATTCCTTCCCTTTAACAGTACTAGCAATTGCTTCAATAGGATATGCACAGGAGGTGAAAAGCAGCGAAGCTCGTGTGCTAATGATCGTGCTATCGGCACTCTCAGCTCTGGTGTGCCTTGTTTTAATGCTATTCACTGCACTTAACACTCACATATTTTTCTAGCTACCAAGCGATGATACCATTACATGTAAGTCCCACCGGTGGCTAGTTCGTCATTAATTACACACACACACACACGTGTAAAAGTTCAAACAAAACAGCACATTCACAATATTGTTCTAGGAGAAATCATACCGAGTCGACAACCTAATGTCCATCTATTAGTATATTGAAATTTGAAACGAAAGTTGTATATATGTGTTTACTTCATTATTTTTGGCCTAATGAAAGTACGACATGTAGTGAGTTTCAATAGAACTTACCACGCTGGATCACAACTCTAATAAATTATTATTGGAAATTATGTAATATTACGTAATAATTGAAAGTGGACTAATACAATCCTATTATATGGGGTTTTTCTGTTTTTAAAGAAAGTGGTGAGCCCTATTAGGACTTGCCTTCTTTAAAATCAAGGGTCCACATCTTCCTATATGAATGAGTTTGGCCATACATGGCGAGTTCTGTGGGACTTACGAGACTTGTTAATTCCTTAGGAAATTGTTACTATAGAAGGTGTTGTATTTCCAAAAGAATCCCAAGAACATGGAGATTCACCAAAATTGGTAGCACTGAAGTTGACCAAGTTAAAAGAAGGAGAATGTGGGGTTGGATTCTCTCCTTATTTTTAGGAGGCTTCAACATTTATTTCATTAAGTCAACTGTGTTTGCTAAAGAATAGGGAAGTGGGTAACGGTTTAGAGAGGCATGTATATTTCTGGATATATATATGTGTGTGTGTGTACATATATATGTGTGTGTGTACTGAAATATAGCTCACGAAATCCTAAAATCATGGGCCATGACGCCATAGAAGTCAAGACCAAACAGGAAAGTCTAAAGGAAGGAGAATTGCCTAAAAATTCAAGGAGACGTGGTCTGTAGAAGAAAAAGGAAGTAGGTTGGATGAATATATATATATATATTCTGGGAAACTAACCACAATGAGGAAGCTCCTAAAATCAAGGAGGTCATGGCGCCATGAACTCCAAAGCCCAGAAGGAAAATCTCAAGATAGAAGTTGTCAAAATCATGGAAATGTGGTTTACTAGAAGAAAAAGACGTGGGGAATAATCTGTATTTATGGATATATATCTATGTATATATATTTATATATAAGATATAACCCATGAAAGAAAAATCGTTGGAGTATTGTGGTCACGACATCATGAAATAAAGTCTAGAAAGGAAAGTTCAACTAGAAGGAAATTACCCAAAGCCGAGGAGAACGTGGTCCGCAAATAACTTCTATTTACATGCATGATATATATATATATATATATATATATATATATATATATATAGAATTATACAGGCAAAGGAATTCTGTAGAAGGAAAAGACTGCAAAGAACATGGGATACTTGGCCAAATATAAACATATCAGTTGAAAGTGGTGGTACCTTATATGGTAACTACCACTAACGGAAGATAATTACAAAAAATCGCAGGTGATAAGATTATGGATTATGAAATCGTGTCTAAAGAGGGGAAGAAGTCTGCGACAGAGGAGGGAGAAGATGGAAGGAAGAGTTACAACTGCCAAGAGAACATGGGGCACTTGGCAGTCCTAAATTTTGCCACATTGAAATTGCTGGAGTTGCCACATCAAGCTATTACATGCATGGAAAGCTCTATAAATAGAGCACTTAGAGATAGTTTGCAAATCCTGTTCAAATCACACAGCCCAACAACACTTTAATTTCTTTACATTATGTATCTTTACATTCATTTAATGCACCTTCAATATGTTTAATTCAAGTCCTACACTTATTATTCTTATTTTCCAGCACTTTACTTTGAAAACCTGTACTTTTAATACTGCTTTCCTTTCTACTAGCCATAGAATAGTCCAAAAGTCATTTTTCAAGGCAAAAAGAACCTCCGAATATGGTAATTCCAGTCCTTCGTACAATCACCTGATCCATACAATCTCTTAGTGGATGATTGTTCGGATATCTACTTTAGAACGACAGCAGTTCTTGGCATGCCTGACATTCACCCTCCTTTCTGCTCTTGAAAAGGACCACGGTTTTTAGGAGCTGAACATCTTGGCACGCCCGACGGGACATCTCAACAGATTGTTCAATGGCCGGTGGAAAAAAGCAAGGCAAGTCTGTCCAAGACCCTGCCGAACTAGAAGAGATGTAAGCCAGTGAACTTCCAGTGGAAAGTTCACGATTTGTACCTGATGAAAATAATATGGTGGAAAATTTTGCTCAATCAATGGCAAATGGACCCATCATGGACAACATTCGTATGATGGCAATGCAGCAAGATAGGTTTGTGCAAGACCAAGCAAGAGTCACCTAAGACTTACCCAGAGTTGCGCAAGACCAATCTAAGGCTAGTTAAGATCATGCAAGAGCCGTTCTTGCTAATGAGCAGAAGTTAGAAGAAATGGTAGACCAAATCTCTCAAAGGTTTGAGTCTATGTTGAAACGGACCTTTGGAAGCTCAAACCAAGGTTTGGCCCCTTGGCCAAACAATTCTGAAGGGTCTCAACAGTCGGCCTTCCAAGCTAGTAGGCCGGCCATATTTGCTGAAGGAAGTTCCTCTCAACAATAAGCAAGGTCATTCCCTCCAACTCAACAGCAGGTGCAGTCCTTTCCAATGGTACAGACTTATATTCTAGCTGCACCTGTGATAGCTCCAGTGGCACAGATGACTGTTCCACAAGTGGCGCCCATGCCAACTATACAACAAGTTCAGAATCCTCCACCTGTGGTATTTTCACAGAAGACTTGGCATCATCAGCCTGGCCAACCATGGCCATACCACAAGCACAACAGAATATTCCACCTATGAACATTCAGCCAGCCGCACCTATTCTAGCAAGGCCACCAATGGTTATTCCTATGGCGGTTAGGAGGCAACCTTTTCCAAGGGAGCCACTTCTTGACTAAGGAGGAAAGAACCGTGGTAAGAATAATTATGGAGATGCCAACCCACTGCTAATGGCGAGTGAGGGGCATTAAGTGGCAAATCAACCTCAAGGTTGGCCAGACAACAACCTTCCATAACCTGTGGTGTTTGATAGAGGCCAATTTGTAGAATTCCTTCAATAGGAATTTGGCCTAACTCGAAGGGGTGAAAGGCCAACTTACAGAAATCCCTATCCAGAGTTCATTGATGAAGTTAAATTTTCAAGGAATTTCAGAATTCCAGACTTTGCAATGTTCAATGGAAAGGGCGAACAGTCTACATTGGAACATATCAGTCGGTTCACTGTCCAATGTGGAGAAGCAGTAGCCAATCGATGGCTGAAAGTATGCTTGTTTCCAAATACACTGACTAGATATGCTTTCAGGTGGTATTCCAACTTACCAGCCAACTCCATCCAAAGTTGGCAGTAATTTGAAGATTCATTCCATACTCAGTTCTATAGAGTTGAGCCTGAAGTGTCCATGACAGACATTTCCAGACTTCATTAATTACCTGGAGAGTCGGTTATGAGCTTCCTTTCCAGATTCAGAAGGGCTAAGTACAAATATAATTTGTCTTTGCCACCTGAAGAATATGTGAAGATGGCTGTGAAAGGCCCAAAATTTAAACTTCGTAAGAATTTTGAAGGTGTCTAATTTCATGACTTGTTTGACTTGGCCGGCAGAGTGGCTAAGTATGAAGAGCTTCTTTACGAGGAGCAAGACCGAAAGAGCTCCTCCAAGGGCACCTACTATTATGATCCTAATTATGAGGTGTACACCACTGAAACTGATGGGGAGTTGGAAGTAAATGTAGCTGAGCTCAACATAAAGAAGGCCTATACTTGTGAGGCTTTGGCAAAACCAAAATCAGCCACTGCCAACTTGCAGGCCGCCTCTGGTTCCAAGTGGAAGGGGGCAAACCCTTCCAGAAGTTACTCTTTTAACAACTCTAAAGCCGAGCAAATATTTGATTTGCTCATGGCTGACAAACAACTGATCTTCACAGCAGGCCATAAGATGCCAACGGCCTCTGAAATGGCCGAGAAAGACTATTGCAAGTTTCACAATTCGTGGAAGCATTCCACTAACAATTGTGTTATTTTTCGCAATACTATGTAAAAAGCAATTGAAGATGGCAGGTTGAAGATTCCAGAAAAAACAGAAGTCATGGGTATTGATGGAAATCCTTTCCCCAAGGTCGTTGCCACAAATGTTACTTCTCTTACCTCAGAACACCCAGGAAAAAGGTGGACTTGACAAATCCAAGGTTCAGTGGAAAACTGGAAATTCCTGAAGCTGCAATATCCATGGAAAAAACAGTAGCCGAGTCGGAAAAATAACTCCGTGAGGCTTAGATAGCCTTAATCTAGCAGGGTTATTGCCCCAAATGTAAAATTCAAAATGAAGGTTGCCATAGAGACTTTCCAAAAGAAAAGCAGAAAGAAAATCTCTCCAATGGCGACCGAGGTCAGAAATGGAAGGTCTATGACTGGCTAACTTTCCAGAAAATGGAAAACTCAGTTACTGTGACCATTCCAGAGAAGGAAAGCTAGGTCTATACAGAAAGAAGGTCAGTAGCAAGGAAACCAGAATTCTTTCCAAGGAGTTTGGAAAGGAATATAGTTCCTTATGAGGCAAGTTTCCGTCCTAGCAGAAAGTATTAAAGTAGCAGTTGGCAAGGCAGAGGCTCTAAAGGTGACAGGCATTCCAGGCCAAAAATGGCCTCAGAAGTATGGATCAGAAAAGGAAATGATCATCTCCGTCCAAGAATGGTTAAGACCCCCTCCTCGCAAAATGAAAGGTAGAAGAGGCTTAATCATCCCAAGTTCCCTATTCATAATGATTCCTATATGACCCACACACAAAAGTGAAGGCAGCAAAGGAAGAGGGTTGATAAAAGGAAATTATGGGAGAAAGACTATGGCTGGTCCAACTGGCTAAAGAAGATGGCTAAACCGTCAGACTTATCAGAACTTCCAGTTAAAAGAAGAGTTAGAGATCCTGATGATTTATTGGACTTGGTTTCAGAAGTTGGAAATTCCTTGACTGCAGACGTCCTTCCTACAAAAGATAAAATAGACTTGGAAATCTTTAATAGTTACTGCAACAAGAAGATCTGTTTTGGGAGCCTTCTAGGTGAATTTACTAGTAATATGGTAGTGGTTCTTCCCTTATTTTTTGAGCCACAGTCAAATCAACTAACTTCAATGGAAGGAGATGTAGTAGAAACAAGTCCTCCCTTGGAAAGCCCTGGACAGTCTAGCTCT